AGTTCAAAGTGTAACATTAGCGACGGGTGGTCGTAAACGAAAACTTGTTTGAAGCATTAAAAAACCATTATCCTATAGTAAAGAAAATTGGGATAATTTTCGAGTTAAACTTGGAGCTTCACATAATCAAATGAGAAAAATCACAAATTTTTTACGGTGCAATGTAGATAGAAAGTCTGTACCTAAAAATTATAATCAGCATAATATCTCGCAAAAATCGGAAACATTGAAAGAAATTTATAAAATAGGTATATACAATTTTGACTGCGAAAACGCATCACAGAAACAACAACGGCCTGTCGTCTATGCTGACGCTGAAGAAATACGTGATGCTGTTAGCCATTTGTTGGCATTACGTAATATGTATACGCAGGAGAAAACATGAATAGAAATTGGTTTTTAAATTCAATCATATCGAAATGATTTCTTGAACAATAATACATAATTTAATAATATTTTGATATTTAATTAATTAACACAATTAACAAAAAGTAAATTTTGATCATTTCATTATTAATGATTTTTAGAAGTGCAAACAACGTACCGACTAATTTATATAAATAAAAAGTGAATGGAGTTTTACTTGGCAATAAATATATGAAAAGAAATGGTTTTTTAATTTAATCATATTGAAATGATTTCTAGAACAATAATAAGATGAAGTTTTTGTTAAAAAAAAAATATATATTCGGCTGGATTTGAACCTGAATACTTTAGAGCGCACTATAAAAAAGATGCATGCCTTAGCCCGCATAGCTATCCTAACACAGTATTTACGTTTCTTTGAATGTCGCATATGTTCATTGATCCCCGTAGGGGCTTAGGATTAAGTGCTTGTGATTAATTATTCATGGTGTCCGAAAGTAGATGCCAAAACTGATATTTTTTTTGCATTGACTATATATTTACAATCAATATTTTGATATACACTGGGCATATGGTAACTCGCTGGTAGGGACCCGCCGGTAATCTGAGTTTGACGCGGGTGACCGCCGCCAGGGGCGACACCGCCAGAAGGCTCTTAGTGCGGAGATACCAGCTCCCAAAAATTAACATGGAGGAGATACGGGCGCTTCGTCTCCTGTATGTAGTCTCCATGAGCTGGGATTATATTAAGATGCAAGAATCCGGTTGCGCAGTTGTAGTATAAAGCTTTTGCGCAACCGGATACATTTATATCAATAGCACCACCCCCCTTACCCCAGCCTGCAAAGTGTAATAGACAGTTAAAAAGAAATTCTATTCAAAACATCTCTAATTAAACTTAACCCTCCAAAAATGCTCATTATTTTAATTGAACCCCTTCAGTTACCCAAAAAAAATTAAAAACTATGATAATTTTTTCGTTTTTTGCAACTGCGATATCTTTAGTACTACTTAATATTTTTGCAAAGAAACAAGGCAAAAAAATTGAACCCTTGCTCGTTTTAATTGTACCCCTCTTACTTTTTCAAGATTATTAATATATATGTCAAAAACAACAATCTAATTTTATTGTATGTTCTTTCCAAATGATGGGTTAACGCGCGTGCGCGATATTATATATTGCGCCAATCATGGTTTTTAATTTGTTGTTGGACAACTGAAGGGGTTCAATTAAAATAATGAGCATTTTTGGAGGGTTTAATTAGAGATATTTCAAATGATATTTTTTTTTCACTGTCCATTACACTTTGCAGGCTGGAGTAAGGGGGATAATAGCACCTCAGCATGACCATGGAGACACGTTATACAGTCTCCATAAGCGTGACATAACATACGCTAAACGTCTTTAACTTGCGATCCGCGAAATTTGAAAACGAAATGAAGTGACGTTGATTGAGCATCAGTGGAATTAAACGAGGTTAGGTAGACGTTTTCTTCTTGCAAGTTGCACAATTCGTGCTAGGGTAACACAGCTACATTTTGTTTTGGTAGTTAGCTGCTCTCTCAAAATGATTCAGGTTTACTATGAATTGACCAAATTAATAAGAAATGCATAGGTAAATCTGTAAAAAATATATATCAAGCAATAAAAATTAAGAAATTGTTAAGCCTTGTTACCTCGAACTGTCAGATAAGTATAATATTATGTATATTTTATTTCTCACGTGGAACGCTGCAGAGGTAAACTAAGTACCTGTACGCATTAGTCTTGGTTCCCTATAGTCATGAATATGCAGACTCACCTTCTCTATCATTTTTTTAAATGATGTAGGAGGATAAAGTTGAACACAATCATGACTGGACCTACAGTTTAAGGTGGAATCCGAACCACCAGAATCACAGTAACACACATATGAAAATTTCATTTCTGAAAATCTTCACATATCCGTAATTAATAGACTATTATTAACATCGTTAACAAGTATGATGCAGTTGTCTCTAAACGCGGTGGTACTGTTAGAGATTAGGAGGGAGATCACTAATTTCGGGAATTCGGAAATTCGTTGAAGGTATGCTTGGGTTTGGGTGTGCGTTGGATTTTGTTCGGGCAATCCTAGCGGCTACTGGTGGAACGATATGGCAATCTAGCAAAAAGGGGCAGGAGATCGACAATCGAGTTCGCCAACTGCGGGGAAAAGGTGAGATATAAGTAAGAGGTGGAGGGGGAAACCCGGACAGAAGCGAAGGATGAATGTGTGGCGATCTCGTGGTCCACCCACCCTCTCTAGATAGTGTCGGCCTATCACAAGAGGCCGGAAATTCGCTCATTGAATATATAAGCTCACATAACGGCCCGAACATTCTGAACGTATGAAGCAGATATTACCGGCCGTCGTGTCTCACTGACAAAGTACATTCGGTATCCCATAACACCGAGACGAAACTCTTCTGCCTTACCAACCTCATTCTTTTTCCCACCTCACGAGTGTAAGCCTATAAGGGGTGAAAACCATTTAGAACGTCGAAATTGAGCGGATTTTCATGAATTTTTTTGAACGGGAAGAAAAGAATAGATCTTGTTGAAATTTGTTACAGTTTATTAGACTTATTTTAAAGAATATTTTACATTTATTTAAATATAAAAATATTGAAAATTTACGGAGATATTCCATCACGAACCTACATAATCGCAGAGGCATTTTTTTTATAGTACCAAATGTAGCGCCGTGAAAAAAGATCTGAAACCGGAATACAAAAAGGTACGATCAGTACATGCAGTCACTCGACAAACCTAATTATTTGATAATAAGTTAAAAATTTGTAACGGAGAATTCCGGCCGTACCCGTCTGGGTTGCTCGCAACCGTCCGTACAAATTATTTATTCGGGGATTCGGGAAGCAAAAGACGTTCCCACGACTGAATAACGCGTCGAGCATAAACACGTTAAACGCACAGATTCGAAGTCGGGATGAGGAGTGATACAGCGGCGAATAAACACAACAGCGGATTAATACACTAGTCGTTTAATTGTCAACAATCAATTACAATACGGCGACCTCGGACTTATACACTACGAGCGGCACAATAACAAACGCGAACGCGAAGGTGAATCGATGGCTGGTCAGCCTGCCAATTCCCTTGTAAAAACTAAATATTATAACAATATATGCCCGACAAACACTTTCCGCCGATAGTCTACCAACGGGTAGCCAGCAGATCTGCCGTGCTACCAGCCATAAGCTGGCGCCCAAACATGCAAGAAAGAGAGACAATTGCGAGGACATTTGCAAAGAGGACATTTGCGAGAGCTAAACGGACGAGATCGGCCTAGCCGAGATTCTCCGTCACAGCCCCCCCGAAGCAACCGATCCTTTCCATAGGGTCGGGGGCTGTCTCCCGCTCTCGCCATGGCTGGGCCTTTCCGTTGGCCACGAGTGAGCTGTCTGATAGCGATGAAATCAGATGATCAAAACCCACCACCAAAGGAAAAACCCAAAACTAAAACCAAAACCAGACGACCTTACAACACGAAAACAACGACCCCGAAAGAGAAACACCACTTCTTCGAACTAGCCCGACACCTTCCTCGATGGGCAACCCACTGCGAGGAAACGCTCGCGGGCACTGCCTCACACGAGTGGCGCCTATGGCACTCAAACAATCTCACGCGTTTCCTAGCCTCACACCCTTAGGTCGAGTTAGTCGTGCCTGAACCCTGCAGCCCACTGAAAACTATCGTTGAGAGCGTTGGATTTCCACTCCCAGTGGACCGGCAACCGACCAGACAAGAAGTTCTCGGGGTACAGGGGAGCACCGGTCTCAGGTCGCGATTTCATCACGAACGTGCGGAAAAAGCGATCCTGCAGAACGACTAGCTTCCCTTCCGTATTCAAGCCCTCCTGGATCATCACCTCGGTCAATTGTTGTGGCGACATCCTCAAGATCCGTGCCCGCAAATGCTGAAGCTCCGGCTGCCTCGACAGGTGCCGTATAAAAAGCTCCGGCTTCCTTGGATTTTACGGCACCTTGATCCGTCTTCTGGGGTGGGGGGGGGGGGGGGGTTCAACGCGTCAACCAACCCACAAATCTCGGAAAAACAATCTAAAAATCCTAAAATCTACTACCCCGCAGGGTAGGCCTTCCTTTAGCTCCAGTAGTACCCGCTCGACCCTGTACAGTAGTGCCCTAGTCACCACGCACCGCAATGACACGTCCCAGTCGACAACCAGGCTCAGACTCCACTGCGCACGCGCTTGAGCCGCTTGCGCATACCTTAGCGCAGGCTGTTACCTACTCAGCCTCCTGCGCACTCACCGCGTACGCGCCCGTCCAGCCGCCGTAGACTGAGATACTGCACACCGCAACGGCTGCACCACACAACTGTGGCGAACGCGACGAACAGCCGAATTCCGCGTTCTCGTGTGAAGTTGCCGTTGCAGCGCATTTTTTTGTTATTTGTACATCATTTAGTTTTCTCTACATTTTTTCTTGAGTCGCAATTCTGACAGCTAACTGAATAGCAACAAAATGAATATTTATTATCAAAGTCTCGAGTACTCAATCATTCTCCTCATTGGTGACCCCGACTACAAAAAATAAATACTAAAAAGAAGAAAAATGGTATTGCCACGTGATGACGAGGTTGAAGCAGCCAACTTTCGTGCGCAACTCGATCAACTTCGTGCCGACAACGAGCGACTCATTCAGCAACTCGCCCAACAGCAGCAGCAACAACAGCAGCAGCAGCAGCAGAATGGAGCGCTTGCAGCAGGCCTCACAGCAAGCGGTGCGCTCGCCCAGGCTAACCTCATCCCCGCGCCAGCAGTTCATCGGGTTACTGTCAAGCTACCACCATTTTGGTCCGATCGACCAAGCATGTGTTGTTGCGCAAGCGGATTCCCAATTCTTCATCTCAAACATCCACAACGAAGTAACGAAATTTCATTATGTTGTTTCGCAATTGGAAACGCGCGTTGCTGTGGAAGTCGAAGATATCATTAGCAATCCTCCTAACGAGACTCCATACACATATTTACGCAGCAAACTCATTGAGCGTCTGTCTGCTTCAGAAGAGCAGCGTGTGAAGCGTCTGATCAGTGAGGAGGAACTTGGCGACCGTAAACCTTCGCAGTTCCTTCGCTATCTTCGCACGCTCATTGGCACGACGATCATTCCGGATAACCTATTGCGTCAATTTTGGCTCCAGCGCCTTCCGTCTTACGTCCAGGCGATCATCACTGCGCAAATAACTGCCCAACCTGCTTTGACCCTCGATAATCAATCTGATATCGCTGACAAAATTATCGAGGTATCACCGGCAACTCCTCTATCCATCAGAGCTGCATCGTCGTCAACTTCCGTCGAGCAAGAGTCGTCGCATAGCGCGCTGATTTGCGCCATCGAGTCTCTGACCAAACAAGTCACAGAGCTTTCGACGCGTGATTCTCACAGAAATAAGAATCGCAGCAACAGTCGTGGACGACATCAACGCAGCCAGTCTAGGCAAGACTTGGGCTCGGATTCTTCACGCCTCTGCTGGTATCATCACAAGTTCCAGGAAAGGGCGAAGAAATGCATTACTCCATGCAGTTGGAAGCCGGGAAACGCCAACGGCAGTTCGTAAGGACGACGTCGAACTGTTTGTCTCCTGGGAGCCGTCTCTTCGTCACAGATCGGACTTCCAAACGCAACTTCTTGGTCGACACCGGTTCCGACATTTGCTGCTATCCTCGTCGTCTCATCCCCGCACGTCTTTCCGTTACCAATTTCGATTTGAGCGCAGCGAATGGCAGTAAGATTAAGACTTACGGTTTTTATCCAGTTAACCTCGATTTTTGTTTACACAGGGAATTCAAATGGAAGTTTGTTATCGCCGACGTGGATGTCCCAATCATCGGGTCTGATTTCCTGTCGCACTTTCATTTGCTTCCTGATTGTCAAGCAAAACTGCTTATCGATGGTACCACCGGCTTACGAGCGGCCGCACACATTCAGCAGATTTTTCAGCTTAGTGTGAAAACTGTCGACATATTTGTTTCACCCGAATTTTCAGCTATCCTTGCTGAATTTCCCGATCTAACTCGTCCTTGTTGTAGGCATCGCGAAATTAAGCACAACACTGTCCATTACATTCGGACTACTCCGGGCCCGCCTGTTGCTAACGCCCCTCGACGTCTGGCTCCGGACAAACTCAAGATTGCAAAAAAACAATTCGACGACATGATCGATTCTGGCATTGCTCGTCCTTCCGAAAGCTCTTGGTCATCAGCCTTACATTTAGCTCCAAAAGGCAAGTCTGACTGGAGTCCTTGTGGCGATTATCGACAACTCAATAGTCGAACGATTCCGGATCGTTATCCTGTCCGTCACATCCACGACTTTACCTGCAATTTAGACGGTTGTATTATCTTCTCAAAAATCGATCTTGTTAAGGCTTATAATCAAATCCCTATTTTTAAAGACGACATCTGCAAGACAGCCATTATTACACCGTTCGGTCTTTTCGAATTTCTTTACATGATGTTCGGTCTTCGAAATGCTGGTCAAATCTTTCAGCGCTTTATGGATGAAGTTCTCCGTGGTTTAGACTTTTGCTACGACTACATCGACGATATCTTGGTTTTCTCTCGTTCTATCGAAGAACACAAACGTCATCTACGTATTCTCTTCGATCGTCTTTCTCGTTACGGGCTCGTCATGAACATTTCCAAGTGTACATTTGGTGTGCCGGAACTCGATTTTCTTGGTTATTCCGTAACTGGTGCCGGTATCAAAGCTCCTCAAGAACGCATCCCTGCCATCCAAGAGTTTACTCTACCACAGACAGCAGAAGGCTTACGTCGTTTCCTTGGTATGATGGATTTTTATCCTAGATTCATTCCTCACGCATCTCAATTTGAAGCTCCCCTTCATGACGCCATCAGCAAACCGTTACTCAACGGTTCGCAAAAGGTTTCGTGGACTACCGAGCTCGAAAATGCATTTCAAGCTTGCAAAGACTGCCTCTCCTCGGCAACTCTTTTGGTCCATCCTCGACTTGGTGTACCTTTAGGTCTCTTTACCGATGTTTCAAACTTTGCTTTTGGTGGATGTCTTCAGCAATTTGTTGATGATTCTTGGCAGCCTCTCGCATTTTTCTCCAAGAAATTGACCGCTAAGCAGACAAAATTACCGGCTTACTACCGGGAACTTCTTGCTATTTACGAGTCTACACAACATTTTCGACATTTTCTTGAAGGTCATCATTTTACTATTTTTACCGACCACAAGCCATTGATCTACGTTTTCCAGCAAAAACGCGATAAGTTACCTCCTGTTCAGCGAAATCAGATCGCTTTTATTTCTCAATTCACTACGGATATCCAGCATATCAGTGGGACGAAGAACATTGTAGCAGACACTCTCTCTCGCGTCGAGGCAATCTCTAAACCATTGGATTACGAAGCACTGGCGAAAGTTCAAGAAAACGATGAAGAGCTCAAGACTTTTCTCAACCAACCTACTTCTCTTCAACTCAAGAAGATTGAAATTCTTGGATCCCGTACATCTGTATACTGTGACGTGTCTACCGGTAGGTCAAGACCTTTTATCTCGGCTCCGATTCGTCGTCAGGTTTTCGAGCAGCTCCACAACTTAAGCCATCCTGGTGCCGATACGACCGTTAAACTCGTTAGTGATCGCTTTGTTTGGCCTTCCTTGCGAAAGAATTGTCGCAACTGGGCTCGAGCCTGTTTGGATTGTCAGCGCTCTAAGATTTCACGCCACGTGAAATCGCCTATTGGCACTTTCGATCTTCCATCTCATCGCTTTTCGCACGTACACGTCGATCTCATTGGTCCTTTACCTCTCGTTCGCTCTTTTAGGTATTGCTTAACAATCGTCGATCGTTTCACTCGATGGCCCGAAGTGTACCCTCTTCAGAGCATCACTGCTGAATCCGTCGCTGAGGCTTTCCTCAATTGTTGGATTTCTCGTTTTGGCTGTCCTCAAATCGTAACATCCGACAGGGGCTCACAGTTCACATCATTTTTGTTTCGTGTTTTCAAGGATTATTTCGGAATCAAGCACAAGCACACCACCAGTTGGCATCCTTCAGCCAACGGGCAGGTCGAGTGTCTTCATCGACCTCTCAAGGCTGCAATTATGGCTCATGCTGACGTCGACTGGGTTGAAGCTCTTCCGCTTGTCCTCCTTGGTATTCGTTCCGCATTCAAGGTCGATATAGGGTCTTCTTCTGCTGAACTTGTCTACGGCGAACCTCTGCGTCTCCCAGGAGAGATGTTGACAGCCCAAGCTCCAAATCCTGAAGATATGCCAGTTTTCCTTGCCGCTCTTCGAGAGCACATGGCTCGCCTCAGACCGACGTCAGCATCAAGGCATTCTAAACCAGGAACTTTCGTCTTCAAGGAACTCGAGCGCTGTACGCATGTATTTCTGCGCGAAGGGCCTGAACGACGATCTCTTCAGCAACCATATCGAGGACCATACGAAATAATCGACAGAAATGACAAAAACATGACTCTCAAAATTAACAATATACCCAACACAGTTACTATTGACAGAGTTGTCCCAGCTTTTATTTTGAACGACGATGAACCACCTCCACCACCTGCATCTACGCCTACACTTGTTGCAATGCCACCTCCAACTCATCCGCCTCCATTAACGCCACCGCCCGTACCACCATCATCAAAGCCTGAAGTCACAACCCGTTCTGGAAGGTGAGTTCGACTTCCGGTCCGTTTTCAAACCTGATCATCATCACTTCGCAAGGGGGTAGTGTGGCGAACGCGACGAACAGCCGAATTCCGCGTTCTCGTGTGAAGTTGCCGTTGCAGCGCATTTTTTTGTTATTTGTACATCATTTAGTTTTCTCTACATTTTTTCTTGAGTCGCAATTCTGACAGCTAACTGAATAGCAACAAAATAAATATTTATTATCAAAGTCTCGAGTACTCAATCATTCTCCTCACAACTATGCGAGCTCAAAGTGCCCCTGCACTCAGGCAACCACGATACACTTCGGTTACCTAGTGAAGCTCACCACCACCCTAGGAGAAAAACCCGTCCTCACGACGATGCCGCGCCCACGCATACGAATCGCGATCGTACAATCCCCTGATCATCCGACTCAATCGCGTGTCCGAACAACCGTCACTCCTCAATCGAACTTCATCCACAAAATCTTATGCGCGTCGTGAAATTCCCCACAAGGGATGCCATGTAACGGTAGGAAATATAAATAAGTAAATTACAAAATAATCGAAATAAACAAAATCAGTAGAAAATACAAAATAAAAGAAACTATAAAATAAAAGAAGATTGCGCCGCGTACAAACAATAACCGCCCGAACAAAACAAGCGCGACCTCGCAATCGGCAGAGCTGCCGAACTGCGAGGTGTCTATTCGGCGCCTCGGATAGAGAGAGAGAGAGAGAAAGAGAAACACTGCACCGACCTTGTCTCGAGTCGACTTCGACTCTCTGCCGGCGTCTTTGACCCTGTCGAAGGCGGAATATTCTGGAAAAGAAAACAAAAGCATGCAGCTAGGTCTTTCCTAGGTCCTTCGGCTTCTCGAATGTTCTCTCGGTGAGGCTGGTGTTATTGTTGCTGTTCTTGTTACTCCGGTTGGCGTTGTTAGTGATGTTTTTGTTGTTGTCCCCGTCCTCGTTGTTAGTGATGTTATTGTTGTATTCCTGTTATCGTTGTTACACTCGCTATCGTTGTTATTGTTGTTATTACTGTTATTGTTGTTAACGTGTTGGCGTGTTGGTGAGTTGGTGACCCCTGGACGTGACTGTATGTGTGTGTGTATGTGTATCCGTGTTGGCCCGTATCTCGCCTCACGCTCAAGATCGGCAAACAAGTTTCGCTCACCACTTCTAAGATGGCCGCACGCGCGTACACTCCCGCGTCACCTCGTCGGTCGCCCACATGCACCGGTGCCGGTTCCGCTACTTCCACAGACTGCTCTTCGACTACACAAAGCTCCGCACACCGGCCATGTACTTCCAAAGTCACATCGTCGGCGAGGGCGCGGGAACTCGTAAATCACAATTCGAGTAGGCGAAAAATCAACTGAAAACTCGTGTGCGCGCAGCGGACCGTGCGGCTGCTCAACAGGTACTGCCCGTTCCTCACCAAGCCAGCGAGATGTGCGCGCAGGTCTGCCGACGCCTCGCTGGCTTTCGCCTATCTTCTGTCTCTCTCTCTCTCCCTCTTTCACTATGCTCTCTACGTCGACTCTCTCCGACTCGCTGCCGTCGCCGTCGCACCTCAAGAAAGAACAAAAAAAAAAGAAAGAAACGGAGCGATTAGAGTGTGCTCAACTAGTGCACACTCCCAGCTCGTCAAAACGCACGGGGAATCAGTGAGAGCCCGACGGAGAGCAACAGTTGACCCGTGATTCTCCGTCACAAATTATAAAAATGACAGACATAAAATAAAAAATGCCGATATTTTCGAAAAAAATTTTCTTCTTCGCCGATAATAAAAAATTGTTAATTTTGAGAAACTTCTAATATTTTTAGGTTTACCTAGTATTTTAACCCTTTTCCTCCCAAATAACACAAATTTTTTCTTAACTTTCATCCTCATATTTTTTAATGAAAAAGTCGTATTAAAAATTTATCAAGCATCACATCTTGTAGATTTTGACCTCCTCTTTCGAATGCCGTTGACAAAATTTACCTAAATTGTAAGCCGGAAATGTTATAGGCCGGTTTTCCGGAAAATTCACAAATTTTTTCTAAAAAAAGTATATTTTGAAATGGAAAAAGTTTCCACACACCATTGGAAACACTGTTATCGATGTTATAGATGTCTTTTCTTTCAAATGCCATTGGATTTTGTCCGAAATTCAAAATGGCTAATACAAAATGGGGTTCGAAAGGAAAAATTTTTTTTTCAAACTTGACGAATTTTTTTCTCCAAAACTATCAAGTTTAGTGAAAAATTTCTAAGAACAAAAATGTCTTAAAATTAGTCTAGAAATACTCTCAAATTTTTTCAGATTTTTTTACAGCGAATTTGGAAATTTCGATTTTCCGATTTTCCACGAATTCGAAAATTAACTCTCTCGCCTAAAGTCCTATCGCGTCGCGATCAGGAAAATCGACTTTTAGTGAGGGTAGCAAAAAAAAATAATTGTTAGACTTGAAATTTTTTTAAATTTTGTGAAACCAATTTAAAAAAAATGTATACTAGGAATAAAATTGATTAATTTTACTCAAAAACTATTGACTCAATAAAAAAATTCATAATAAAAGAGTCTTAAAATTTACCAAGGAGTACTCTCAATTTTTTTCAGAATTTTCCGAGTTAATTTTCGAATTCGTGGAAAATCGAAATTTCCAAATTCGCTGTAAAAAAATCTGAAAAAATTTGAGAGTATTTCTTGACTAATTTTAAGACATTTTTGTTCTTAGAAATTTTTCACTAAACTTGATAGTTTTGGAGGAAAAAATTCGTCAAGTTTGAAAAAAAAATTTTTCCTTTCGAACGCCATTTTGTGTTCGCCATTTTGAATTTCGGAAAAAAACCAACGGCATTTGAAAGAAAAGACATCTGTGGTGTCTCGCACGAGGCCGCTACTCACACCACTTGGTCGCCTGCGCCGCCCGCAGCGCTGACAGCCAAGCAGCGGGGAAGTAGCTGCGGTGGCGCTCAGGCGCTGGAGGGGAAACCAAGCTCATTACCGATCGGAGCAATTGCTCCTTCTTCTCTTCCTGGACGCCGAGCAGTCAAGTCTCTCGCGTCGCTATAAATTGATTTATTACGATTGCCACGCGGCAAATTCGTAGTTTCGCTTTTTCGATCAATTTTTGTAGTTCCCTTCCGTCTTGTTGAAATCTCAAATTTAGAATAAAAATAAACTTTGTAAATTGGCTGTTCAAGATTCTTTTCATCTTCCCGAGTCCGCATTTCAGCCGTTCTACTGGATAGCCAAACATCTATAACACCGATAACAGTGTTTCCAATGGTGTGTGGAAACTTTTTCCATTTCAAAATATACTTTTTTTAGAAAAAATTTGTGAATTTTCCGGAAAACCGGCCTATAACGTTTCCGGCTTACAATTTAGGTAAATTTTGTCAACGGCATTCGAAAGAGGAGGTCAAAATCTACAAGATATGATGCTTGATAAATTTTTCATACGAATTTTTCATTAAAAGATATGAGGATAAAAGTTAAGAAAAAATTTGTGTTATTTGGGAGGAAAAGGGTTAATATGTTATGAAAACATGTACAAAATTTTGGTTCAATTGGTTGAATAGTTTCTGAGCAATCGTTGGTACCGATAAAAAAGTGGAAAAAAGAATTTCGAGAAAAACGTGTTTAAAGTTTTAGTATTGGAAAAGTGTTTGATAAAACTACTTACGGATTAATCTGCTATTCCAACTCCATACAGCAGGCCGTGAGTTTCTTCAAAAAAGGAACTTTCTTCCATTCCCTTTTCTTTTTAAGCCTTTAAGTCTCTCGTCGCTGTAAGACTGCGCCTTTTTTGCTGAACGATCCGACGCTCACCAACTTCGTTTGCAAAATCCAAAGCTTGTTTACCGATTTGCAACTCCAATTTTTGTATAACTTTTAGGATTTGAATATAATTTCTGCTAAATGAGCCGTAATTTCAATTATTTTAAAGTCACCATGACTGTATTTAGGAGTTAAACGCCAAATAGTCGCGTTGAAACTTTCATTGACGTTCAGTGCGTAGCTTCCTAAGCAACTGCGTAATAATTCGTCACTACTTAAATCGTTATAAATCGGTAGAATATGCTTCTGTATATCAAGGTGAAGAGGTGGAGGATGCTTTATGCTGTTACTGTTTTCTCCATAGCTTCAGCATTTTTCCACTTGCACCAGCTATCTTCTCCAGAAGGACAAAGCTCCTGTCTTGGAATTTCATCTGTCGAGGACAAATGATAATAAGTAGCCATTATTGCATTTTTTATATCCTCAACGTTGTATTTATTGCATCTAATAGCTAAACCATAATATCTTTGAAGTTTTTTTATTAAAGTGTCGGTTAATTTTCCGTTTCCTCACAGTTTATGCAACTTTTTAGCGTTTCTGAACTGAGTGCTCATACATTTTTCAACATGACCAACGTATTCACTTTTTGCATCTGTAAAATCATCACATATGGATTTAGATATATGATTGCCTTGAACGTCTTGAAGTCTTCAACGTAATTACCGTATTTGCCTCTGTACTTTCCTTCCAATTGTGAAAACATTTTATAGCAAAGACCTGCACTTTTCCAGCTGAATCTTCGTAATTTTTGGAGCAGTTTCCTTCATGTTCTGCGAACCATTAACTATATTTCTCCGTGATTTCCTTGTTTTTCCAAATATTACCTTGCTGACAGTAGCTGCTTTTCACTACCACACAATGACTTTTCCGATACAGTAAGCAATGAGTGTAGTGACGCCGTAAAAAGATTTAAAACCTCGCCTTTTACACGACTTATCTCCAGAGACCATAAAATTTAATAAAATTCTTTCATATTTTTCATTTTCTTTTTGGTTTTTACTTACAGTTTTCTCACGATAGAATCAATACACAACACAATCAAATACAGCTTTCGAATAAAGATATATCACGATCTTATCATAAGCTTGCTAACTCAGCCCATCGCAAATATCCATAAAATTTGTGACGAAATTTATCCCTTCTCGGGCAATGCCTACAAGACGCATCACTCAAGCTATTCATCTGTTTATTC